GCATTTAAAGTTAAACTTAAAACGTTCCTTTTGGATAAAGCCTATAGTTAGTTCTGGATCAGGTGAGTCCTGAACCATCTTAGTTATGCTGCTATAGGTCTAGACTGCTGGGGGAACTCCCATCATGCACTGAGCACTTCTACAGTCCTCTCTGCCCCCCCCAAACTAATTTATCTATTTTAATACGTTCAGCAGTAATTTGTACCTGCAGATGAAGCAACATTGGCCAGTGATGCCTGGGCAGCCTGAGCTGCTGCAGCAGCCTGGGCAGCGGCTGCTGCCTTGGCGATCTCAGATTTGGGTCGTCGCCCCCGGCGACGGACGCCCTCCTCCCTGACGACAGGGCCAGTCAGAAGGCGGTCGAACATGGCTTCTGGGAGGAAACCCTGTATGGAGGAGGATTATTTCTATTATTATCATTAAATGTGGGAAAGAGATAATGCAACTATCTTCATCTGAGACCTGCAGTTTCATTAGAAACAGTTTAATTTAATAAACAAACTGTTGTAAAGGTGCAACAGTAATCATAGATTTCATCTTGTTTACTGACCGACTGTTTGACGATGTCTGTCCAATCAGGGGCAATAGAAAACTCTGGGTTCTCCAATAGCCATCTGGGAAGCTCCTTCATTGGTGGAGCCATAGCCCCGCCCATCTAAAGAAGAGGAAAATGGAATGACTTTCATCTCAAAGGAATGTTCTGTTTTTATAAAGCACTTTTCTAGTCTTGATGACCACATTATTACCATTCAATCATTCCCACACATTCTTACAGTGCATCTATGGGCAGCACTTTGTTCGGCATGCAGAAGAGGATGACTAGCTTGGTAGACCTTTATTTTTAGGTCTCTCTGCAGATGTTCAATGAGGTTGAAGTCTGAACTTTTTCTGAGAAGCCATTCTGGCGTCTTGGCTGTGTGCTTTGAGCCACTGTGGAGCACCTTCACTCTATTCTGACCAGACTCCCTGTTCCTGCAGCCAAGACATGAACTGATTATGGTGTTTACCAGACATTTATTCTGCCATAAGGGATAACATTTTGTCTCTTCAGACAACAGAACCTTTCACCACTGCTTTGAGTTTTTTAAAACTCTACAAGACCCTCTGAAATGGTCATCCTTTCAGCAGGTTTCAAAGCTCTACTGCAGTGATGTTTCTTGGTCACCTGCCTGCCAGATACTCTTTAATGCCTTGTTACTCAGTTTGGCCAGTCTCTTGGATAAGTCCTGGCCCTTCGAAACCTTCTCTGTTTCACAGTTCTAGATGTCATTGTCTCCTGGGAACAGTAAAAGCTTTGGACATGGTTTTGATCTATGCATCACCACAGAAAGTTCATTGGACATCATGGATTGTTGTCCTCAAGTCAATTGGGCAACCTAACAAACACACTCACACAAACTTTACAATGAAGTCAATGTGCCCAAGATGGACTAAATCAAGTTCTAGACAAATCAGGGATCATTCAAGTGGACAGGATGCACCTTAACACCTTTTGGAGCATCAGCAAAAAGCTCTGAATACTGTGAATATTTCTATAATTTGCAAAGGACTTTATGGGTCATAGAGTGTAATGTGCAAAAAATAGCAATGCCATTCATTTAAAATTAAATCAACAACACAATAACTGTCTGAGGTCACTGTATGACTGCTTACCTTGCGTCCATTACGTCTGTTGATCACAGGCACTCTTTCCTCTCCAGTCAGGGTGTTGATGTCGATCTTGTTGGGGTTTCGACAGCGATGGCGCTTCTGCTTGGGCTTAGAGAACTGAGACAACAGTAACTCCTCATTCTTCTGTAGCAGAAAGACAAAAAAAAAGGTATTAATAACAAGTTCAACAGATTAGACAAAGGATAAATAAAGAATTTCTTCCAAAGCAAAGAAACAGGGAAAAAACTGAGACTGGTTAAACAGATTAGCATGTAAACTAGAGGACTACAGGTGGGGAGGGTTAAAATATAAAGAAAGAAATCAGGTCTTTACTGGTGTGAATCCAGCCATGTCCATGGTGTACGTCGGGTGCTGCCTCAGCCACTCTCCCAGCTCCTTGTTTGACACTGCTGCCTCCTCCTCTTCCATACTGCCAGAAGCCATAGATCTGGCACTAGGGCTCTGCTCTGGGATGGTGTTCGATCTGTGGGCCCGGGTGGAATCCTGAACCCTCTCCCCCACTGAGACCTTTGTCCCGTCAGCATCATCCTGAGTGTCCAACAATTTGACACAGAGGAAAACATTTATTAATTCAGATTTTTATACAAATTGATGCGCATCTGTGCAACACAACATGACTATTGGTCAACTTCATACCCCTCCTGCTCTCTTGTTGCCCATGAAGAGCAACTCCAGGCCCTCCACATTTTTCCTGCGGCCTCGTCTTCTTCTCATGATGGGCAGGTCAGCCTCCAGTGAACCGTTGGCTCTTTGTCCAGAGGTTGGCGCTTGCTGAAGCAACTCCATCTGGGCCTTGAGGGAGGAGCTTGTCACCAGGGCACTGGGAAATCCAGCCAATGAGGGAGATGCCTTGTGGTGATGATGCATACCCTGGATAGCAAAGACATCACTTTACGTTAAATAACTTTATTAACAAGTCATAAAGTCATTTAATAAGTAATAATCATCAATCTCCACCAACAAGAGCATTTTGGCTCTGTATCAGGTTTAATACCATCTATACTAACATCCTTGGCATGCGTGTGCCGGTGTACATAGGAAGGCATCCACATCTCCCTTGTAAAGAGAATTGTCGCAGATCACTCAAATAATAGTTTGTGTCCTACTCAGTTAAGTTGCATCATTGTCGAATGCAGAATTCAACTGCACAACAGCCTTTAGCAAAGACTCCAGGATCAACATCACTTGCAATTGATTATCCATGTTGAGTTCTACACTGATAGCTAACACTAAGGCCTGCTGTTTTGTTCCAGGAAGGGGGCCATGTGATAACATCCTGACAAATCCACACGTCGTGACCAAAAAGACCCAATCAGCAAGCAGTTGAGAGTGTGTAAGTTATCGTTTCCAATCAACATTTCTACCCATCCAGACTAAAAAACAGTTCTCTGTTTTAGCAGCTCTAAAACTCAGGTGAAATCTTGATGCCAAGCATATCCATAGCAGAGTTTATGTGTTTCCAAATGAAAACGTAGTAGTATGGATGTACCCTAATGTAACTGGACTGAGTGTGTGGGTTTATGTGAATACCTTGGTTAGGTCTATAGCCTGGCTCTGGGACTCAGCAGCAGCGTGGCTCTCTCTAAGCTGAGCCACCATCTCCATCAGGTTGCGTCTCTTGGCCGCCCTCTCTGCCTCTATCTCGATCTTTCTTCTTCTCCTCCTCCTCTGTCTGGGCATTGTCAGGCTCAGAGCGCCCTCCTGCAACATCAGGTCAACGTTATACATGTTGAGCCTAATAACTCACCAATGAGCTTGTCAAGTTTTTGTTAAAGGTACTTCAACAAGCGATGACATGTCATCACATCATTGGTATCTTTAATTCCAAAAAAGATGCTAACAGGCTAAACTGCTATTACCATCTCATTCCGTTTTTCAATTTAAAAAAAATGGCATCTGCGGGTTCAACCAACAGCCCCCATTTGCCCCATATACAGGTACATGATTCTTATGTAAGTTCACAACAACACTCACATGAACCTGTGGCGATAGTGTTGTATCATCATTCCCACTGTAAGGTGTATGGATGCCCGCCATCGTCAGCTCAGCCAGGCTCCGCCTCTGCAGTGGGCTGTCAGTTGCCGTGGCTACAGCTGCCGTGGTTACTGCGGAGCCATGCCCTGGCAACAGGTTGCCGGGGAAGTCAAAGATGTGGCGTCTGTTGACAGGCCACTTGCCCTTCAGGACAGTCTCGCAGATGTTATCCATCCTGTTAATCATCAATCGATCCTGACGGCGGAGAGAGAGGAGGGAGGTTACATACTGTTCTACAAAGAGCTTTGAATTTTTATTTCTGTTAACTTTTAGTTCATCAATAATAATTACTTCTATTGCAGACAGGGGCCTTTACTTAAACCAGGCTCGTGTTAAGTGTAAAGTGTACCTCTATTCCTAATTTTTTACTTTTAATGGTATATTACTTTTAAGCAACCACTTCGATAAATTCTCAGTATATCACATTTCCACAACGCTACCCAGAAAACGGCAAAGTAGACGCGACATAGTGTGCTGTGTAAATATACACTAGGCTCACTACTACTCACCCAATGATCATTACTGAGCCTTATCAACTGGCTTTTACTTGTCTGTTGGATATTAAGACTCACCTTAGGCCAGAATGAGAAGGCATAGGCACGGTCCTGTAAGGCTTGCAGTGCAGAAGTTTCCGGTAGGTCGTCGGGGCAGAAGCCATCTCTGGTTTCGTCGCGGGCTGATGTGCTCAGAGATGCGATGCTCTCCTCATCAAAGTTCTTCTGTTCTGATGCAGCACTCGCTGTGCACAGAGAGGGAGAGCCATTTTGCAATTTAATTAAATTGGGCTTCAAGGGATTCTAGCTCATTTCATAATTTCGCCCCTTGAACTCATTAAAACATTGCAAGTCATGAGGGGAGACACCAGAAATAGGCCTATGACTAAGTGTGGTGTCAGCAACGATGTGGGCCGATTACCAGGACAAAAGTGGGTAAAAGGAATCTGAATAAGGTACAAATACAGTAAGACACTTGGAACATGTTTTGAACTTAAAGTTAGAACTCAGGGTCTTCATCTTAATGGTTTTAACAAAATCCAAAACTTAAATTTATTATTACTATCACTATCCACACTGATCATCAATGATACCAACAACTTCAAGTTAATGTAAATTTGTAGTACCCTCAGCCTGCGAGGATTTCTCTGATTTGTCGTCTTCGTCCATCCTCTCCTCCTCTTCCTCCTCTGGGCTCTTCTCTGTGTCAGCTGACTTAAGAGATTTAGGAGACTCTGGGTTCTCCTTCACCTCTCTCTCTTCCTCCCTCTCAATCTTGTGGCCTGGTTGTGATTTAGGAGAAGACTCAGGATGTTCTGAGAGCTCAATGGTCATTTCCTCCTGGTCCCTTTGAGAGTCAAGGCTCAGACTCTTCTCTTCTGTCAAGTCTTTAGATTCCTCTTCTGCTGGTTTGGAAGTCTTCTCGTCTTCTCTCTGCTCTTCTTTCACCTCTTCCTTCTCCTCTTTTTCTACTTTTGGCTGGGCTTCCTCCTGATTGACCTCCTTTCTTGGTGAAGCAGTAGCCTCTTTTCCAACCTCTCCCTCATTATTTTTCTGTTCATCAGGGGTTTCAGTCTTGGTACATGGAATGTCGTTGGAATCTTCATCAGTTTCCTTTTTCACCTCAATTTCTGTTTTTCCTTCCTCAGTCTTCACCTCTTCAGCTGCACTAACAGCAATTTTGGCAGCAGCAGCAGCGCTCGCCAGTTCTGCTGGAGTAAGGAGAGGTGCAGGGGTGCTTTCTGCAGTTCCCATTCCAGCTTTGGTCATCTCTCCCTGGGTTCCCATGCCCATCCCAGCCCCTCGCTGGCTGTTGAAGCGCTGATGGGCCTCCAGAAAGTCCAACGTAGTGTCATTTAAGATGTGATAATCTGTCCGGCTCACACCGTGCTTAGAGGCGCCCAGAATGAGGTCCCTGTCATGGCGGCCACACTCCCACCACTCTGGGAGGTCTTGAGAGGGCTGGCAGAGCTTGAGGCGCTCGGAAAGCAAGGGGTGGGGGAGGACTTGCTCTCGAATGCGGCGGAGCAGCTCGATGCGGTACAGAGTGCGAGAGGCACGCTCCTCAGTGATAGGGTCGATGATCAGGGTTGGGTCTGGGAGTTCTGATGATGTTTAAGAGAGAGGAGTCAGTGTCTAAACAACAGCCCAATACTTCACGATATAATGTCTCCTATATGCTTTACAATAGCATGAAACTATATATGTTTCTTACCTGTTTCAGTCTTGACCTGCATCCTGCAGACCCGTTTGCACATGGCAATAAAAGAGTAATAATATTTCTCCAGACTCTCGTCTGTTTTTTTGTCCAATCGGGCAAAGGCCCTGAACTGTGACCAATCAAATTTCTGATGCTGGGTGTCAAAGACGACACCGAAGGTTGACACAACGCGGTAAAAATCTGCCTCCTCACGACGAGTCCATCTGACAAAGGTAAAAAAAAAAAAAAAGAAAAAGCGTGAGACCATGTACGTAACATGATTTGATTTTATTCTTTGGTATTTTGGAAGCAGTTTTTAAGAATATGATGTGATTGTCAAATAAACCTTTTAGATATGTGCTATTAAAATGCAACTCTACCTTTGTCTTCTCTCCTTGTAGTACATGGCTCCGTCAGCCATCAGGGAGCCGGCCGCCATCACTGGTGAGGACTCTGATATCAACTGTCCACCTTTGGCAAAGTAAGCACTTCCTTTGGCCAGATATGGGCTTCCTTCTGTCAGGAACACTGTCGCTCCATCTTGGATGTAGGTTGCCCCTCCTCCTGCCTCGGTAACCATGGGGATGGAAGGCAGGAAGTCCCTGCGTCGACGGCGGCGACCATCAGGGCGGTTGAGGGCCTCTTGGCGGAGCTGCTCTTTTCGGTTGGAGCGCTGGTATGCTGTGATGAGGCGACGCAGGCGGGCTGTCAGAGCTGAGGCTGCAGGCCAATAAAGGCGCTCGTTGGAGCCTGAAGCTCCGCCCCCAGTAGTTGCACTTTGACCGTTTTCACTTGATTTAGTGGCTACAGGTAAAACAGAGAAAAGTGTACCCAAGGATGAGGCAAGGGGAAGAGATGTAGTCAAAAAGTCATTGACGTTTATTTATTACATTTTTGGAGTCAAAGTTTGAAGTTGGAGCAGATACAGCAAAGATCTAATTGAGGTCAATGCTGCAAAAGTACAGTACATCGTATTTCCGTGCTCTGTTATGTTGACAGGACATGCAGTGTTTATTCAATTTTGTGGCTCTCATTTGTTTACTTGTCATTTGTGTAAATCTAACAAAATAGTAATTTGCTTATATGTATGGGATTGTTGTTCTGGATCCTTCAGACCCTTTAATTTGCACCCTTCACCCCTTTCACTGCCCCCTCTTTCCAAGTGGAATCAAAGTTTACCTTCAGTGTCTCCCTCTATTGTGTCATCCAGCGGAGAGTTGGTGAAGTCATCCATTTCATCTTTAAAAGGCATTCGCATTGGCTTGTACTCTGGATCCTCATCCTCCCTGTAGAATATGGAAAGGACAGACAGTAATTTTCAGAAGTTTTTCATGTCTTTTCCAATCTTGAATTTCCTTTTAAAAAGTAAAGATCTGACAAGGCAGTGAAAGGTAAACATTTAAAGACAAAGCAGAGAAGCGCAGAGGCTTCAGAGGAAAAAAGGCCTGACACTTATGATTCCCAAACTTGTGGGTATAAGTAAGACTTAAGGACTTTTGAATAATGACTTTTTATAAAATGTAACCACAATTGGCAAAGTTTATTGTTAAGTAACACCATTTCAGACTGAACATTGTAACAGCTGTGATACTATACACTGAAAACAATTAATGTTCAGATCAGATTTACAAACATGGGCCAAGGAAACTGTGGCCTACATGTTAATGCAACAAAAATAAATTAGAATTTGTCTGTTTCCTTTGCATATATTGTTTACAGCTCAAGAATCTATGGGATCACTTGAGATATTACAAGAGAAAGGACAGACTGATAAAAAGCCACAGGAAAGTGTAAAAAGTGGCGAATCTGAGACAGATGAAGGAGGGAATGGCTAAGAAACTGTCTTTTGGTCAGTGAAGCCTGCTCTCTTACCCCTCAACGCCATCTGCCATCATGTCGGCACCCCTCTGCTCAGCGGCGATAGCCTTGGCGTCCGGCATGCCCATCCTCTCCAAGAAACACAGGGTGGGGTCGGCCCGCATTGAGTTGTACTTCTCATAGCCTGAAGAGGAGGAAAAAAATTATGTGATTAATACAGAAGCTTACAAATTCATGTCAGAAGGTGGTGAAGACTACATAGTTACTGGTCAACACACCCGAGTCAAAACAAACATCTTCGGAGAAGTTGTACTTTGTAGATCTATCGTGATACTACACAAACATTACACTTTTTTTCTTTAAACACACACAGTCAGACACAGACACACACAGCATCCATATTAAATGAAGGAATAGGCAAAAACTGCGGCAGAAGGGCAGACCCCAGGAGCCAGCTGCTGACAAGACAGACAGCCTGCATGTGTGTGTTTGTACACTCGTCTCTGTTCACTATGTGAGTGTGTGTGTGTGCTCATCCAAGTGAGCCTGCAGGTGCTCATTTGTGTCTGAGAGAGGGAGCAAGAGGAGAGGAAGAGAGAAGGGCGCAGAGAGAGAGAGAGAGGAAAAAGTGTGTGTCATGATGTCTGTGAAAGTGAGTTAGTGGGTGTGAGAATCGTAGCTTGTGTGTGTCCGTTAGGGGCATTGAGGCAGAACAGATTAGAATGTGCAGGTCCTACTGAGACACATTGGGACGTGGGGAGGCGGGGGTGTAGGGGGAAAAAAGAGGCAGACCGGAGTAGGAGGAAAAAAAAAAAAGAAGAGGTCAGATGGCTGGGGAGGAAAGGAAAAGGGGGGGGGGGTCATCATAACAGAATCACACCCACTCTTCATCAACGCTTCGTTCATCCCTCCTTCCTTCATCCTCATCACAGTTAAAGTAGACAAAAATGTTGGTACCTCCTCTGACTCCCTCACACACATTTCTTTCTTTATGAGGACACTCCTAATGCATTCCCAAGCTCCTGTTCCTAACCTCAATCATCACATCTGAATATCAAACCCCAAGTCATTCCCTGAACCAAATCTTAACTCTTAAACAACTCTTGTTTGTGTGTTCCGGTTGTGATAAACCGGCCAAAATGTCCTCACTCTGTAGGGTCTATAACTCAAAGTGATTCTTACAAAGATAGAGATGTATACACACACACACACACACACACGGCTCTCCACCCACAGCCAGACATTAATCATTGGAGCCTTTATAGGCCATCACTCTTCTGCGTGTGTATGAGTGAATGTGTGTGTGAGGGAGAGAGAAACACTCTATTTGTCTGCCTGTGTGTGTATGTCAGCATACAAAGCTTACAGTGTGTGTGTGTGTTGTGTGTGTCTGCGCGTGCATGTTAGTCCATCCCCCAAAGGGCCTCCCGAGTGAATGAGGATTATGATTAACTATGGGTGAGTCCTTTTATATTCCTCTGGGTGTGTGTGTGTGTGTGTGTGTGTGTGTGTGTGTGTGTGTGTGTGTGCCCCCTAATAGAATCATAGAGAGTGGCAATGATGGAAAAATTATGACAATTATGCCAAATTAATATGAATGAGGGTCTCCATACACAACAATTACACTCAATCTGTCACTGGGAGTCACAGTCAGTCAGCACCCTTTGGCTGACCAGTTGTGTTAATGTCACTGGGACCTTAACACAACTGGCACGTTTTCTAAATGACAATCCAAATAGCCTGGTTTAACAGTTACCACAGAGAAAGGATCAAATTATTCTAACTTTGAGTTTGGCTTTGTTAACAACAAAACACCTGTAACACACAGAGCAGCACACATAGACTCATAGCCAGTGGTGAAACCAGCAATCAATCACATTCCCGATAGCACGCTGAGCCTACCAGCTGCGTACCGTTATCACCATAGCAACACCAATCAACTGGTGGCAACAGAAGTGGGTTGGATGTCGGGGTGTGTGTGTGTGTGTGTGTGTGTGTGTGCGTGTGTGTGTGTGTGTGTGCGTGCGTGTGTGCGTGCGTGTGTGCGTGCGTGTGTGCGTGCGTGCGTGCATGCTCACCCCATACGCAATGGGGTGTGTGCGTTTGCTGGCTTGATGCGTACTGGGTTGGAAGCCACTGGAGCATCTCAGCGAGTGTGTCTGAAGGTGCTGACATGTTATGTGTATACTGTATGTGTAATGGCTGCCATGTTGATGGAACATTTAGATCTGTGTGTACAGAGAGTGTGCGACGCTGGTATGTGCCTCTCACCGTGTTTGAAGACACCGAGAAGCAGGGATTTGTCGGCCTCACCGTCCCACCAGTCGGCTGGGACCTCAGCATGGAACGGCTGGGGAATCCAGATATCAAGCTCACTGTGGTAGAGATAAACACATGACATTACTGATAATAAAGCTGTGTGTGTGTTTTCAATTTGCCTTAGCAGCGCAACACTCTTATTTCAAACAAAATGGAATGAAATCTGAATCTGATTGTGAACCAAGTAGGTAGTAATCAGACTGTAAAAGCTGTCAGCCACAAACCAGAGATAATAATCAACTTTCCAAAATTTTCAATCTCAATTTATGCTTAAACAGACTTTTTGTATTGTAGTTAAAGTTCTGTTCAATAAGATTTAAGCAGCTTCACTGCTGTGATTACTGTTCTGTATCAACCCCTTTCTCTCTCTTATTGTGCAGTCAATTCCAGCAATAAAAAAGATGTTGTTTAAAAGGGGAAGGAAAATAGTAGCTAGTTAGTTAGTTATTAGTTAGCTAAAAGCTAAAATATCAACCAACTGTCTGAAATACAGATGTTAAAACCAAAGTGAGAATGCAGTCTGAAGGACAGGTGGATGATTTTGAAAGTGCAACAGTGCGTTTCAGGAGAAGAAATTGTTCCTTGACTTTTTAACAGTACACTGATAGGTGAGTATCAGGTTTTTTAGAGAGGCAGGTGAAACACTTTCGTCCTCCTTTCATTACCGCTAAGCTTTTTTTGCATTGTCTCTCGAAGCTCCTTACTTCTTCATTTAACCATGGCAGAGAATAAGGTTTCTGCTTTCTATATCTGACAGGTGCTGTAGAATTGACAAGATCTTCAACCGAAAGGGTCTTGAGAGAGTTTAGGGGGCAGGAACGAATCATAGTGGTGAGGTTTGGAGTTAAGTTAAAGGAGTGGGACCTGGAAAAGCACTGCATTATGATCTGAGACTGGAAAATCGATCAGCTTTACATTGTCAACACAGAAGCCATGGCAAAGCACAAGTTCATGAGTGTGCCCTTTGACCTGGCTGGGGTGCTTGACATATTGGGTCAAACTAAAAGAATCTAAAAGTTTAAAAGAAATCCGAGATTAACAAGGAGGAGGAGGGGCAGCAGACATGGATATTAAAGTCACTAAGAATAAGAACTCTGTTGTACTGTAACATAATGACAGATTCAATGTCTTAAATAAAAATGGAAGTAAGTTGAGGATGGTAGATTAGAACACATAAAATAGGCAAATTCATTATAGCCTTTCAGTGATCCAAACAAACATGTGGGAACAGACTATACCAGGACCAGCAAGACTCATACTGTCAGGGCGAGTAGGGGCTTTGGGGGGCAAACCATCAGTTCAAGCTAAAAGCCAAAAAATGTATAAAATTAAGAATGAATGTTCCTTTCCTGTTTGGATGCAGCCCATCACGTTTGAACAAATCCCACTTGGTCCAAAATTAATCAACATGATAATAAAATCCATAATAAAAAAAGTCCAGCAGCAGTATAAAAATGTTGCATCCATCCATGCAGGCTAAATACAGAGCTATAATGCTCAGAGCTCTTGGTCATTGTGGGAGTTGGACCAGACAGGACACACCTTCCCCAGGCTTTCTATGGTGGAGGCATGTAATTCAGTTCTTAGTGGAGTCTAGCTGATCCCTAGACATGACGTCATTAGTGCCAGAGTGCACTATCACAATGAGGACAGAGGGGTGGATGAGCAGGAATGAGTTCAATAAAATCAGCTGTCTGTATGTAATTGGAGGAGCAGTGAGGGAGGGGACAGGCTCTGACAGAACCTCATCCAGCTGTGAGAAAAAGTTTCATCTGAGGTCTGCTGATTGTCTCCCGGTTTGAGGCAGATCAGATGGGAACCCAGCTCCTCAATAAGGCGCTCAATAAACTGTATTTCCCTCTTCGGCTCCACAACCTCCACTGAGGGGCCATCGATGGACTGCCGTCTTCTGGCAATGCCCCTGTGTCAGGATTTGTTGTAGACTGTGTTTGGAGTGATCACTGTCTCACCCTCTTACTGTCCAGGATAAAAACACCAATGGGCTTGGCTAACCTTGGCAGCTATGCTAAAAACAAGCAGGTATGCATACCGGCTTAACCCTAACCCTATGTACAATCGTATCTAGTGTCCGAGAGTTAAAAATCTCATACCAAGTTAAAACATACAGATTACACAACCAAGCTGTGAAAATTTAACTGTAAAACTGTGGCTTGAAACTGGATAAAAACATCTATTTTTGCCATACCACCTGATAAACAAAACGCATGCGCAAAAGTAGGCGTGTTGATAGGAGCAGACAGAGGCTGGGTGTGCCTGCACTAAAGTCAGACACATGGGAACAATTACAGTGCGGGGATACTGTCTCTCCCAAATCTTCTATACATGTTCCCCACATTTACACAGAGAGGAAATGATAACTGATGAGTTCAGTGCTGGACCATATTACAAAGGAGGGAGCTGATCTTCTACCATTTAGAGATTTCATTATAAAAATATATATATGCTGCAATATACTGTATCTTGTACTGACTGATCTACACTTGTGGTATTAATGTTGCTCGGAATGATGATAGTTTGCACACATTAGTCTTTGTAAGAGTCAAGCTTTTAAAATATGACAATGCCACCCTAATATTATTTTCTTTACACCATTTTTATTGTCAAATTATCACAACATCCTTTCAAACTTCACTCTCAAATTTTTTAAAGATCTTGCTTTATCAGGATTGTAAGATGATCCATTTAATGACTCTAGTGAACACACTATGAGCTTGCAGGTTTTCCTTTAACTCCTTTTTGAAATTACAAGAGCCTGACCAAAACCAGATATCTGGTCAAGAACAGGATTACTTATTTATGTAAATAAAAAACATTTCACTGTGTTGTTGCAGGATAAATTCTGTGTTGTGACAACAAGCAAACAAAATCCTCCACTATGGAAATAAGATGGTAGAAAATGGTGCTTGCTGCTAGTTATGGAGAGAAAGGGTACAATACACAATGGACACAGAAAGTCTGAGGGTGTCAGGAGGAGAGAAGAAACTGGGAAATAGTCTCTTATCTCTGCAAACAGCAGCATGCGCGGCCTTGGCAACACACACACATGCGTGCGCGCCAAGACTGGCATACTAAATCCCCCTGGCATATGTTGGCACGATAGCAACCCGTATGCTCACGTCTGGCACGCGCTGAGACACACACACACACATTAACGGGTGTGTCACAGTAGCCATCGAGTTGGGGGAGGGAAAGAGGGGAGGGGAAGGAGAGATCAGCATGAAGTGCATGTGCTCCAAATTATAAATGCATTCACATCTGGGTGAAAGGGTGATGAGAGGGGGATGGGAGATGATCATAGACCAAAGTATACTGCAGAGAGAGGGAGATGTGGACAGATGCCAAGCAAAGTGTAAAGTGAAAGAGAGAAAGATGGAGGAAGCAGTGAAGGAAGGTGATGTAGGAAGCAGATCAAGGAAACAGTCAAGGTGAGCAGTGTATCTGACCATCATATCAGCACCACTGTGCTGAGAGACCTTGTTTCTGATGATAATTAGCAATATAGGCAATAGCCTTTTGAAAAAATATTTTTTAAATCATCTAAATGGGTCACAAACTGTGATAAAAGCTTATTTTCCAATGATGACATTTCTGCTTGTTGAATCAGTCACAATGAAAAGAAACCTGCCAAAGAGGTCACTGGAACAGACTGAAACATCACACAATAATTAATCACACATTAATGTTCTTTATAATTTCTTTGAGGTTTGGACAAATCATTTCTCAAAAAAACAGATGCTGATTTGGGTTTTTGTCATGAATCATATTAACCATATAGCTTTGGCGGTTGATGTCACACCCCTCTCACTGCTCTTGTTTCCTATATCTCTCTAGCCTGTGAACCATCAATAGACATGTAAATTAAAATCTAAAAAAACTTGCTGGATGAATGATAACGTGCAAAGCTTGCCATTCTGAGAAACACCACACTGCGTTTGTTTGTTTTTATCGGAGTCAATAAATAAATAAATCAGATCAGGAACTTATTTGCAGGACATCCGAACCTCTGTGAGATTAGTTTGTTTAAACCTTTTAATATCTTTAAATTTTATAACATGTATTATCTAGGGTCCTGCTCAAAATCAATAGATTTTATCTCTGAAACTACAGAGGCTAATAAGAGGTTACAGTAGAAACATCATCTCCAAATTATTGTTTTGTGTCAGAATAGGAACCAAGTAGTGGTAGTAGAAGTAGTTGGCGTAAGCAGCAAAAAGCACAGAGGCTGCAGAAAACAACTGAGGGAGCCAAAAGAGAAAACCATGTTCCTATGTCCTCAGTAGGACGGTGAATTGTGGTAAATGGGACACTAACATGAAGACAAAGAGGAAGTAGTATAGAGAATCTACTAACCTGGTATCGGCTCCTTCCAGGATGTGCTCGGCCTGGTCGCCTATGACTTCCTGTCTCAGATAATACAGCATCCTCACCCTCAGCAGCACCCTGAGTGGACAGTTAGAGAAGCAGATCATTAGTAGGGTAGACTAAAGATTCCTAAGGAGGCAACATTGATCTTCTGGTGTATTCCAGTTACGTAGCTTATTTATGAGGGTCCCCCATAATGTTTGACCCTTCCTGTGTTGAAGAAAATATTATAGGTGCTTGTGATATAAGGTGTTTCATTATGAGGGGGAGTCATAATAGCACGAGCCACAATGAACTGACTTGACTGTAGAATATGCTGTACAGAAGCAGAAATGTGGAATTTACTAAGACAGTGAGATAAAGATCTTGGATGTTCGATTATTCAGATGGAAAATATCCTGAGGTATTCTTCTGTTGAATTACTGGTTTGAAAATACAGCTGCTGTCTTCTCTAGATACAAATTAAAGATGTAAGAATTAATGTTCAAGGAACTTCTACAGTGAAATGAATCATATCGGTCAAGGCTGAAGAAAGTCAGATTTGATCTCCTGACACTGGAAATGAGCGAGATCTGCTCCACTGTAAACATTTGTCACCAGGATTTAATGCCAATAATGGTTTGGCGCAGGAGAAAGGAGTAGGGGAAGGGGGGAGAAGGGGATGAGTGAGAGGAGAAAAAATGAAGTGGTAGAGAGATGTGTTTCCTCCCTGTGTGGAAGGGAGGAAAAAGAAAGTTTAGTTTCAGGGGGGGTTAAGCCAGTCATTTGCAACTCATTCTGCAGGGTGTGTGTGTTTGTGCATCAAGTTGCAAGTTGGACAAGTTGCAGTGCGTGCGTGTGTGCGTTTTTGTGTGTTTGTTGGCAGGCTGTGAGTGCTCATCCATCAATGTGCCAGGCCTGATTAGCCACACAACGCTGTGCTTCAGCCTAGCAGATGGCACCACATAATCACCCCCAAGTGTGTGCGCGTGTGAGTTTATGTGTGTGTATGTGCGCATGCATCTTTCACCCACTTCCAACAGGTCTGCCTGCCTAGCACCTGGCCTGGCACACAGCCACACACACACAAACAAACAAACTTCCCCCCTCAAGAAGAATAAAAAAATCTTGGAACTGAATCTGGAGGGCAAGGAAGCATATCTCCCTGACAACAAGAGAAAGAGCTGACCACAAAGCAAATGATTGTGTGTGTGATTGAGTGAATTAGTGAGAGAGAGAGGGGGAGAGAGAAAGAGAGGTGAAGAAAACAGGAAGATGGCTGCCTATGTTTAAGTTGTGTATGCCACATGCCTCTATATGTCCTGGTTTTAAAGACCCAGTTCCATTCACATTAGTTTGGTATCCATGAGATTTCAACTAGAAACTTAAATTCAACCAAAAATACTGTGAATAATGTTTCTGGCCCCTGAAAATTACAAAGCCATCTATTATCACTTGCTGTCATGGTGTTTCAGGAGTTTGAGGAAGCCTTACTTGTTACAGTGATGTTTCAGGTGTCTCTTGTAGCTATCCTCTTGCAGTAAGTGGTCAGGATTACAGCTGGCCAGCCAATCGGCTCGCGGGGTCTGTGGAGGTGGGGCCTGGGGCTTCCCCTTCTTGCCTTTCCTACCCCGAGGCACTGGGGTAGATAGACCTGGGGGTGGGAGGTGAGATGGGAAATAGTGACAACCTGAACACCTTGCTTAAACATTATTTATGCACAATATAAAATTAATGTCAACAATTTTATACACCTTTCAACTATTTAACTATATAATACCTGAAATGTGTCGAGAGCCAAAAGAAGGCATCACATGTCTGATAAGATTCAAATATTGTTTGCATATTAACCTTATACCGTCTATTGTATTTTTAAAGCAACAATTTTTTTCTCATTGACCTTATAGGCCTACAATGAAAAATCCTGATACGAAATAAAAGTCAGAGTTAGATATAAATTTAAGATTATGAGGTACATCATCATTCCATTATTTTCAGATGCTCATCAAGGGTGCAGTAAGCTGAATCAAACAACGTTCATATTGCGTCTAGTGTGTTGTTTGAGTGTGTGTTACCGGAGTGGTTGGTCAGCGTCTTAGTGGTCCCATCTTCACTCGGGGTGATAAGGTCCCAGATAAAACTTTTGATGTTCTCGTCTCCTCTGTAATGCAGCAGGCAGTAGGCCAGCAGGGCTCTGCAGATGGTTTCCACATCCGCCTCCTTGAGAGGGCGCTTGAAGCGACCGTGGGCCAGGATGTCACTCCACCTGCCCCATCTAAAGACAGACATGAAGAAGAAGGAAGCGGACAAACCTGTCAGCATTATGGATACACTTGCCTTTTAACTTACACTACTGAATATGATGTGGGTTGGAAATCAAAGCAAAAAGTTCGCAAAATTACAAAGATTGTCGGAATCATCAAATTAGTTGATCAGTTAGAACAAAAAAATTGCTCTGGTGCACAACTCTGCACTGCTTACAGTTAGCTGATAATACAGATCAAATAAACAATGTCAAATTATTTAATAATTATTTTTGACAATAAATCCCATTTCTCTCTTCATGATTTTCATTTTCTGATGATTGTTTTTACTGTTTTTATGTCAAATGACAATGCTCTTTGGATTTCTGAGTCCCTGCCCATGGCTTAAATTCTGCTAGTTATCGACCGGCGCAAAGGAACATCTGCTATCTGACTCATTGGTTTAATTTGGGGGCGTAGATGGAAGGTGGTGGCGAGAAGTCTTGAACAACAGATTATAGACAATTATGATTTTACATGTTGAATTGCTACTTGGTGTCAATTCTGGTGCAGGGGTGTGATGAAAAGCTATTTGCTACTGCAAAGGTGAATAAATATGCACAATAAATCCCTCCATAACACACATAACTACTTGAAATCAAATAGCACCCTGACATCCCTTTCATTGGGTCTTTAAAATTGTTATTTTAAGTTGAAATTATATGCAGTGCTCTGTAAACTTGAAATAATTTATGATTAAATATCAGTTTATTAGTCAAAAATTGTTTCTTACAGTTATTGTGAGGTTAAAACCTAAATGTGTTCTTCAATAAATTATCAAGCTTCTTGTTTGGAATGCTAAACTATATAATTATTTTACTAAGTCTGTCAGACAGTTTGTGTGCCAAACAACTCACTCACATGACCCTGATCCTTCATGAGTATGTTCACAAGCCCAAATCATTTTTCCTGCATCCCAGACATTTATCACACTCCAGCGACAGATACTGATGAGTGTCGGGCCCACATCCCTCTCTCTGTGTGTGTGTGTGTGTGTCTCTGTGTGTGTGTCTCTGTGTGTGTCTGTGTCTGTGTGTGTGTGTGTGTCTCTGTGTGTGTGTGTGTGTGTGTGTGTGTGTCTCTGTGTGTGTGTCTGTGTGTGTGTCTGTGTCTGAGTGTGTTATCATGGATCACAGCCAAACCCGCCGCCCCATCACCTCCAGAGAGCAAGCGACCCAAAAGACTGATGTGGTGGTCTTGTTCTCAGCTAAAAAATTCTTTCCACTGCCGCTTCCCAATCTTCACTGAACCATGCAAAACAGTATTACCCTGAACAATTTCAGATAGAGTCAAATGATGGGTGAGGGTGAGTGAGAGAGATGGCTGATGGGAAAAGACAACAGAGCGCCGAGCAGAGAGGACAGGCCCAGTCAGTGTGTTTTTGTGTCCTACAGCCTCGGGCCACGAGACTAGACTGTAACAATAACAACGCTGACATCTCACTAGCACCACTGTTCTTCCTTGCAAACGCGCATACACATAGTCACGCCAAATCAGCCATGAAATGGACGGGTTCACCAGACTCATCACGGTCTGTGGTAAGTGTGTCAATTTGCCTCTGTGTGATGTATATTGTACGGCCATCTCTTTAGACTTGAAGGGCTGTTATTGTGTATTGTGTAGTTTCAGATGCACTTCCATCACTGCACAGATATAAACAGATATAAATGCATAGTACACAGGCATTTCCTAAAGGAAATTTGTATGTTGTTTGAACTCAAATAATGTAATTTAATCTAGTGAAGATCATTTCAAATTTTGCACATGAGGCTTTACATTACTCTGAGACTGAAATTTGCTCTCCAGTCACCTTGTGAGCACGAGAAAAACATGCTTTCTGTAGGCAAGTGTGAATGTGTACATGACTGTATTTACAGGCAGCTGTGTCTGTTGAGGCGAACGCTTTCTCACTTAATCACTCTGTTTGCAGGTCTGCATCTATTGACTCATGTGCTCATGAACTACACTCAACAAGACTCCACATCCACCAAAACCAAAACTATATTGTCCTCCATTCATTTGAATCATCTGCTTTAATGTTTCCTTCCACCACAGTTCTTCTATGTTGTGATTGCTCTGTGTTTAAAAAGGAACATTTAGGTTGTTGAATCATGAAGGAATCATGAGTGAAAGCTACGGCCGGCAGCCAGTTACCATAGCTTAGCATTAAGAACGGAAATGCAGAAACAGCTTGCTTGGCTCAGTCCGAAAGGAACTAAATCCAACTATAAGTACCTGTTAGGTTCTGTTGCTCGGTGCCTGGTGAAGAGTCCAGGAAGTCAATGAGCACAGATATCAAACAGTCCAGAAGCTGACCCTTTTACTCTTTGAGTTAATAAGATTTCCCAAACTGTCAACACCACTGATCTGGGCACTAATTTGTATTAGTATTTAACTTAATCATTCATGTACTTGAGATTTTTTCCCCTGTAATGCCTGTAACCCCTCTAAAATGTATAGATCGAGGCTGATTTGCATTAATTCCAGTCATTTTGTGAGTCAATCAGCGGTCAACATAGTTATCCATCTGTTTTTTTAGTAGAAAACATGAATATGTAACAGACCCATAGACCAGTAGGTTCTTCTCCACCCTGAAGCACTCGGACCGGGGGTAGCCCTGGGCTTTGTCTTGGGGTCGTCGTGGTTTGGATGAGGGTTTGCTTGGCTCGTCCTCGTCGCTCTCCAGCTCTGAGAACTCCAGCATTTCGTCCTCTTTGACGCTGCTGAAGTGGCGTGTCTGCTTCCTCACCCTTGGTGTGTCAATCACTAGTGTGTTCTGGAGACAAATTCAATAAAGGCATTAAGTCGACATGCTTCTATGGCCTAGATTCTGGTGTACTTTTTTAACGATCATTACCAAGAACCTGCTTTCAAATGCAGATGGCCTGAAACCCACCAATAACAATATGCAAAGTAGCCTCTGCTTTATTCTTGTGATATATTCCATTTTTTAATTTCTTGTATACTCTGACTACTTTGCGAATACATGACACCTTCTGCACTGAATCTGATTAATTGGGTATTTGGCTCCATGTTTAATTCCTGTAGCTGAGAAAATTGCTGCCCAGCTCAAACGTTACCTGACATTAATTATGTTGTCTAATGAATTAAATTTTTGTTCAATTAATTAGATTTTCTCCCCTTACAGTCACATTAATATGTGCAAACAGGGCAGTGGTTTGTTCCACAATTATCACAGAGCATTGCAGTCGTTTTCAATTCTAACATCACACAATAAGAAATCCCAGGGGAGCGGCATGCATTCACGCTCACAGAGCTGGAGTGTGTCAGTGGAGGGTCCTCCACTAGAGAGGCAGGAGAGACGAGGAAATCAGGAGGGACTACTACTCAGAATAGAAATACGGAAAGAAAACAAGTGAGCAAATACAGAGAGAGAAGGAAAGGAAAAAATAAAGATGCCTGTTAATGTCTGTGTAACAATGTGACTGAGTTGTTGTTGGTCTGTGGGTGTGTGGGTGTGTGTGTGTGTGTGTGTGTTGGAGCACTTGCCTAAGTGATATCTCTGTACCCTCCAAGCATCTGTGCTCTGTTAAGTGGAGCTAAGCAGCTTACTCTCTCTCACTCAAATACACACACGCGAGAGCAGGGAAACATGGGTAATTACGGTAGAGAGGAGATTCCCGACTGTCAATATTAATCTCTCTTTGCTTCCCTCCTGTTCTTACGCTCTCCGTCTTTCTCACTTTCGTCCCCCTGACTGACAAATTCTGGATGCTAGTCCCTTTCCAGTAAGAGGATGCCACCAAGTATGTGTGTATGTGAGAATTTGCATAGTGTGACTGTTCTGTCTCTGTGTCTTTATGATTTAATCACATCTCCTGTTTGTGGTTGTGTTTAATATTGCAAGTACCTGTGTTCACATTATGCATGTACAGTTGCAAGTGTATGTGCTTGTGTGTTAGAATTACCCGTCCATTCATGGCATCCAGGTCCAGCTCAGCCTTCTTGGCCCATTTCTGCCAGAAGTCTGGATCCTCCAGAGAAATGTCTGTTCGGTTACCGGTTGCAACAAAACTGGCCTGCAGACATTCAACAAATGCATCGGTTCAGATATTATACTTTTATAACACATCACACATGAGATTTTCTATCATTTCCATTGTCTTTAGGCCATGAAGTTTTTTTACCTTAGCAAATGTAGAGCCCTTCCCCTCAGACTCTATGGTGATGGTGTGAGTTCGTCTCTGGAGGATCTGGTCGATATCTTCCTCGCAGAATTTTGAGCCTTCGTCTTCCTCGTCCATTAGAGCTCCGTAGGCTCCCTTCCTCAACAGGTCCTCGATCTCCTTCTTGGACAATTGCTGGACCTGGACCACAATTGAAAACATTTAATTCAGTGGCCGCAAAGGATTCAGTCGTGTACCCGAATAAGAAGTCTGAAAACACTTTAGTGATCTCAGAAAATAGAGTTGCCTTTAAACACATAGTACACTGAAAAGATTCACTTTAAGGAATAAATCAATCTGAAATTATTGATGTAGATACCCCGCTGTTGGCGTTTTCCCGTCCGCTCATGCTCTGCAGCACGGCCTTGTCCAGCCCCAGCTTCAGACTGGCCTTGTCGAACATCTCCCTCTCGTAGCTGTTCCTGGTGATCAGACGGTATATCTTGACCGCCTTTGACTGGCCGATACGATGACACCTGGCCTGGGCCTGGTGGAGGGCAGAGATGAAAATTCAGAAACATTATTCCACAGAAAATGATAGATTTGTTAGATCTGCTAGTAGCACGTTCAGCTGGAAAAGTGAGGTTTCAGAAGAGTGAAGTGAAGATCTAAATGTGGCTGACAGTATTTCCGAGGCTGACCACCGCTCAAGCTCTTTAGGAGTCCTCAGTACAACCACAATCAAACAAAAAAACAGCAGGTGAAGCATGGTGTGGTTTTTACCTGCAGGTCGTTCTGAGGGTTCCAGTCCGAGTCAAAGATGATGCAGGTGTCGGCTGCCGTAAGGTTGATGCCCAGCCCTCCAGCTCGTGTACACAGCAGGAAGACAAAACGGTCCGAGTCTGGTCTAGAGAACCGGTCGATGGCTGCCTGCCGCAAATTACCACGAACTCTGCCGTCTATACGCTCATACGGATATCTGGACACAGAATTTGAAGCACAGCTGTTAATAACTGTAACTGTAAAAAGCAGTTAGTAGAAGATATGACAAACAGATTTTAGGGCCAATCCAATATTCTATTTACCCTCCTGTTATCCTCAAATTTACTTGCCGTGTGTACCTTCTGCTATTTTGTGAACACTTCAATTCTGTACATCTTTGGCAAAAAAATGTGTTTAATTTTTTAGATTTCTTCTTGAGGGTGCACTGGGCAGCTATGATCAGACTGAGTATCAGCAGACATCCAATGTCTGGGATTACAAAGCCTTGACCAGAAGATACCAGCACTCTAATGATAACCAGCTCCTTTGCACTTATTATGAAATGCTAATTAGTCTCTATTCTTACCTTTTCTGGATGAGGTAGTCCTCCAGGATGTCCAGACAGCGGACCATCTGACTAAACACCAGGACTCTGTGTCCACCTGCCTTCAGTTTGGGCAGCAGCTTGTCAATGAGCACAAGCTTGCCTGCAGCCTGGACCATGGCCTGGAGAGCCATGTCTGGCAAATCGGGCCAGCCTCCGTGGGAGTCCCTGAACTCATCAATGATCTTTTCTTCCGCACCTAGTCACCAGGAAAGAATAATTACAAATCATCCGGAGCAATAATTGGTTTGCTGAGTCTTTAAACTGCAGTGGTGTGTCAGCTTTTGTAGAGTGTGTGTATACCATTAATGAGGTAGGGGTGGTTGCAACATTTTCTCAGCTCCATCATGGTGTTGAGGAGGTTGGGGACACTGGATCCTCCAGCGCCGCCGCCGCCACCTCCTCCTGCACCCCCTTTGGACAGGAAGGTGAAGTTCCTTTCCAGAATGGCCCGATAGTATTTCTTCTGGATGTTGGTCAGCTCCACCTGACGACAACAAAAAAATTCGATTATTTTGGGTTTTTTGGACATTCTTTAAATGCTTGTTTGTGTAATTCTAACAGGATTCTGATTGGAGAGCTGAATGGATAACATAACCAGAATAGGTGAAGATGTTTCGACATCACCCTTGAACTCAGACATTTATGATGAGATGTTGGTCCTACCTCAATGATGGTCTCCTCCTTAGGGGCCAAGTTCTTCTCCACATCCTCTTTCAGTCTTCTCAGCATCATGGGCTTCAAAATGCCTTGCAGTTTCTGAACCTGAAATCCACAGAGGCAATGTTAACACTTCATTGAAACAGGAATTTAGGAACTGTGCAAAGTTTTAAAAACTGTCCATTTACCTGCTCTTCAGTCTTGAGGTCTCCAAATTCAGTCATGAATGTCTGTTCAGAGGGAAATCTCTCAGGCTCCAGGAAGTTGAGTAAGCTGAAGAGCTCCTCCACAGTGTTCTGGAGGGGAGTTCCTGTCAACAGAACTTTGTGCTCCTGCAGAAGAAAGCAGAGACAGGAAGGACATATTTAGAGTTTCTAAAAAAATGAAAGGAGGATGTTGACAGGATTTTAAAACCTGAAGTAGCGGACAGTGAATTATATTATGGCACAGCTACAAGGCTGATTTATCCAACTCAAATGTTTTATTTATATCAACTTGTGCTTACTGTCTAAAAATATTCTTAACTTTTGACATAGAGATCACTTTCTTACAAACAAAAGAAGACCACAACTCACCATGTCCATCATTTTGAGTCCTTCCAGCAGTTTACAGTTTCGGTTTTTGAGGCGATGGGCTTCATCTATCACCACACAGCGCCATGGGATGCTGCGAAGCTCCGGACAGTCAGCCAGAATCATCTCAAAGGTTGTTATAACAGCATTAAACCGATAAGCTCCCTTTATTATTTTACCCTGGTGGGAGGAAGGCAGAGAGGGGAAAAGAATGAAGGTCAATAAGAAAAATCTAAAAAAGTCCCAACTCCTCCATCATCTTACTGTTTATCTGGGAGAGAAATAGGGCTGCTGAACATTACCAAAATGTCATGTCCTGATAGATTCCATATCTATATAAATAACAATACATATCTTTACCCTTTCATTTACTCAAGTGCGAGTTGGGTTCATGTATTTGCAGATGTTAACGTGCAACATCAGCTGTTACCTTCTTCCATTTTGGTGATAACCTACAATGTCTGCGTCTAAGGTTTGTTCTGAGCAGGCCATTGTAATTATGGCTCTCATCCTAAGACTCTCCTTGTTATGTTTGACATGTTTCTTGTGTAAATGGTAAAAAGGGTTAGTGATGTTCTGTGTCTGTTGTGGGGACCAGTCTGTGGCATAATTTTAAATAACAGTTATCTGGTCTGGATCAAAATAATCCCCAAACTATATCAATTTCTACAGAAGTGCCCCCCCCCAGTACAAGCTGCTAATTTTGTCTTGGCTGGTCTAAATCCTTCTCCTGTTCTGAAATACCACTTCCTGTGTCACGTTCATTCAAATATATTTGTTTTGTGGTGCTTTCATGCAAATTTTCCATCCGGCATATACATAGTGGGGAGGAGTGGTCTATAGGGGTGATTTGCAGCACAATGACATCAACCATAGGCAATACTATCAATAGATAGCTTTTTTCTATTGTCACACTGTTAAAATTCATCATATTGCACAGCCTTAAAGGGAAACCAAGAAAGTTATTTGTAAGGAAATCTTTCATAATGAAGCTTGATGATAAGGGTGGACTCCTACATGCTATGCCTGTTTTCTATAAACTCCACAAAGATTTATTGTAATTCAGTATTAAAGTCCACTGTGTTTCCTTTATTCAAACCAGGGCCCTGTACTATGAAGCAGGATTTGCGCTTATCAGGGTAACTTTAGGCTTAGTTCAGTGTTTCTGGTCCTACGAAGCTCGTTATCAGGGTAAATCACCATGGTTACTGGCTAAGTTGGCGATAAGAGATCAACATTAAAGCACCACCCACTGATCAATCAGTTCTGTTGAAACATGACATCACTATTCTTAAAGAGGAAAAAAAGGGTCTTCAGAGACCAACAAAATCCTTTTACCTACTCTATATTTTGGTGTGTTAGAGGCGGGATAACCATAGTTTTTTACTTTGATCCTTCCCTTTATGTGGTTTTATCCTGTGGAATTAAATATCTATTTGAAATGGGTGATGGTTTACAGATTTACCTTGTGCCTCATGGCCCTAACTTATTTATGTCGTGGTCACATAATATTTTTTTCCCCAAATGTCACCATGGGGCTGACTTCGTAACTTACACATTCACGCAATTGGAGATTTTTTGCCAGCTGTTCTTCCTCCATTTAGCAGCTGTAACTTTTTCTTTTATTTTGGATAATATTTGTAAGAACAACCCTTCAGCTTAATTTCTTCACAGGCTAACTGTGGCAAAGGTCACTGTTAGATGATAGTATCATTGCTCAGTAAGAGCTTAGAGTACAAGGCTTATAGCCCAAGGACAGTAAAGGCTTTAAATTGTCCATCCCCCGCTGGCTCAAGATTTTCTCTGACTAGAGGTGGTGTTAAGATCAGCTGCCTGACTCACACAACAGCATTTCATTCCCTCCATCTACTGTTCCAAATGTGTGATCCTCATACAGGTCAAAGCTGCTGAGGCCTCTGTGGTGGTTTTTACTGAGAACAGTCAAGACTCTCAAGAGTCAAGTTTCTCATCTATTTGCAGCTGACACTTTGGAAGCTGGTGTTGGTGCAGTTTCAGTCTAGGCAGCAATGACTATTCACATGCTGATTTATATTGACCAAACCGTTATTTGAAAAAAAACATTCTATGGTTTTATAGTTACACAGCTGTGGCAGATTTTTTGTTGTTGTCAAAGGCTAAGACTCATATGACTTGCAGTGAACAGATAAACCTGTCCATCATCAAACTGTACTTCACTCCAGATGCACTGCTTCAATTTAGGTGATGAGCACAAGTTATTGCATTCATTCTGTTTGCCATCATATATCTATGATCTCCAGTGGTGCAGAGTAGGCAGTGTACACATATGTATGTGTGCCCTTCGTTTTCAGTGATATTTTTTATTACAGCGTCAATTGTATTATCTATTTTTTCTTCACTGTATGAAATGTGTTTTTAGTGTTTCACTAAATTCCAAACTGTCTGAATATAATTCTTCTCTTATCCTGCAGCAGCTAATATCACAGATAAGTTGTTTTGCAAGGAGAGTTTAGCAGCTCTGTTTCATTGTGTCTACCTGTGCATCTCTATAGTACATCTCGTAGGCCTGGATGGTCTTGCGGCTGGCCTGGCTGCCATGGTAGACCACAGCGTTGAGCTCAGTCCAGGTCCTGAATTCTCTCTCCCAGTTGGGAATGGTGGAAAGAGGGGCAATCACCAGGTACGGCCCCTCAATGCCCTTCATGAATATTTCGTACAGGAACGTAATGGACTGGATGGTCTTCCCTAGACCCATCTCATCAGCCAAGATACAGTTGCGTCTGCGGGGGACAAAATACGTGAACAGAGTGAGAAGCTGAAACACATGGGCTGCATGTAATAGTGCATTCACTCCAAACGCGACGCTCTGGGATGAAAGACGAGATACTCGCGTCTTTGCGTTGACTTTGTATGTAATCTCAATGCACAGAAAATTTGTGTCGCATTTGTTGTGAACGCACCATAAGATGTGCATTTCACATTAATTGAACTTAAGTGTCACCATACTGGTAAAGAACCGAATGCTTACTTTGTAGTTACCAAAAACTACTTCTGCTGTGAACCCCTGAGATTCCACGACTTTAACCTGACTATGTCAAAATGATTCCACAATCTAAAAACTTCCCTCCCTTCATTTATTAATGCTCTTGGTAGTGTGTCACAATTTGTTATCTGGAAAGATTTTTAAGAATTTCTTCAAATGTTTTTGTCCTGGAACACAGCCTTAATATTCTAATGATATTCCGGAAAACTTAAGAGGAGAATAGATCCTTCAAATCAAGAAAGCAAAACAGACAAAATAATGTGCTCAGACCCAAGTTCAACTGCAGGTTTTCGTTCATTCTGCTGGCAGCAATACTGTCTCTGGACACCTATGGTACCATAACAGCATTTCAAGCACAGATGGAACAATTAGGAAAACTTAACAGGGTCACTTAATCCACTCCAATGTCTGCAGACAATGACGTTTTTAATCAAAGTTCTTACAAAATAAAAGTTAATGGTGACTTACGAGTTGTACCAGTTGAAGGTAAGCCAGTTGAGGCCTTCTAACTGGTATTCCCTGAGTGAGTTGCTATTCCTGTATTCTTTGGAGCCCTCCAGCTTTTTCCATTCGGCTGCAGGAGGCCGATCCTAGACAAAGAGAAATTATTTGGGGTTATTAAAATGACATTAATCATTTGATCAGTGTATCTTATCAAATCATCAATGTAGAGACTGAGTTTTATAAAGGTGTAGCTTGACTGAAAATCATATAGATGTCAAAACAATCAGCAACTGTTATGAAAGTTCTCAAGGAAATACCTATCCGTCTCAACTTCTTTCCTCATTCTTCCAGTAATATCTCTAAATTTATTAAAATGGAACTGTGGTTTAGTTTTACAGATATCTTGCCATGATTTTCACTATATACAAGTTGAAATTTTGACCAACAAACTGTTTTGGATTTCGTCACTGAGAAAGACAAACATCTGCCAAAAAGTTGAGTTAGTCCAACCCCTGAGCTATGCTGCTAGTGCAGCTAAAAATACAAACTGCCTCCAAACACTGCCCTGGAGCATTTCTAACATGGCCCTTAAAGAGAAACAGTAGGCAGCAGTTAAATAGATGGACACAGGAAAATAGAGAGTTGGAGGGAAGGACCACAGCCAGTCAGCTGCTTCTGTTCAGCATTAAACACACTGTTAGTGGTTTGGACTGGCCACAGGAGCAGGGCGTGTGTGTGAATGTGTAAGACCGCAAGAACGTGGCCCTGTGGAGAGCATTAAGGGGGCTGTAAATCTGCAGGAGGAAGGAGCAGGCGGCAGGCCAACACACACAAACACACACATGCACGCGTCTACTGGGAGGAGGCTGGTAACAGATAGCACCCAAAGAGCGTCTACAGAGACAAAAGCATATACACACAGGGCCACTTACCACTCTCTTAATGTTAGGTGTGCGTGCTGCGATGCGTTCATATTCGTCTATCTTGGACTGGTCGATGTCAGCCTTCAGCTCCCATGTGGAGTCCTCGTAGGGCAGACTGCACCATTTCACCAAATATAAGGTCACCGTCTGCACAAAACAACACACAGCAGTGAGAACCAGTGAGCGTGCTGAGATGAGACAGAGGCTCAAACCCATGGAAGATGACAGGAGGAGTTCAAAGCACCTCTCCATTTTCATCTGTGCTCTCTGAAATGTCCAGGACACGGTCCACCTCCACGTAGTCTGGGTTAAAAGGCTCATCATCCATCTGGAGGGAAAATTAGCAGAGTTGTTCTGTTAGAGACACGGAGATGCTATAACCACAGGTTGGCTTAAGAGAATTTGATTGGCTATTTGTTGGGCTGAGGTTGATTTCATGTTTGCAGCATATGACTGATGAAGACATTTTTGACTAATTAATTGCTGTATTAGCTGCCAAATGAGCTTAGACTGAAATATTAAACACTTCTGGAGTCTCTGGGGTAAATATCCTTGCAGCCAAATCCAATACAATTGAAGTCAATTGCGACGTGTAAATTACCTCGTTTCGAGTCGAATATGAATATCGGGGCTTGCAGACACTTGGATGAAACCACACTAGCAGTATGGAGGCATGTTGTGTTTTTTCTGATTTATTATGTCTGGTTACTTCAGTTGTTTTGGATTTGGTTGCAACAAAGTTAACCCCTGAGACTCCAGAAGTGGTTTGTGGACTCAAACACTTCCCCCAACCCCTTCATCAGCATAGCGGTGAGTAGATGAATGAATTTAAATTTTTCGGTGAACTATCCCTTTAAAACTGCAAAAAAAACTTTTGATAAAAAGTCATTTCTATCTATTTACAATTTGATCTACAACACAGTAAAGTGTGCACAAAGTGGAGGACAGTGTTCTCTAAAGCCACTTCACTTGTGCAATGCAGTGTCAGGACAAGATAAGGGACTAATTGTTCTGTAGAGCTCAGGTCCTACCTCAGTTATAAAGGTGTTGAGTTGTTGCTTTGCCCTAAACCTCTTGATCTTCTGGTGCACTCTCTTGTCCTTCTCCAGCTCCGGCAAGTCTGCCCAGCGACAGTGGAGGTACGAGCTGAGACACAAGAGACACGGTCAGACCCAGTGATTCATGACACTCATATTGAAACCAGAGAGAAAAGCAGTGTGTGTAGCCAGCGCAACAAAAGAGTAAACTTCTATTACAGGGACTAAGTTACATGTGCACTCATATGCTTCTGTGGATTGGAAGCATGTATTTTTAAATAACATTTTACAGCTAGTTGGGTGCAAAATACAGCTCATATAATTTGTCTGAATTACTATGAAGAAAGTCAGAAGATTACCTGATGAAAATAACCATTAGTTGAAGCCCTGGTCCAAAGTTAAATGGCATATCCAGACTTTTCCCTTCCATTATAAATCTGAGGCAAATAACCTTATCTGACTGAATGTAAAAAGATATACTGACAGTTTTTTACTTCCCAGGAGAGAAAAGATACCATACTGTTCTCAATGCAAGGTTTTTTGTTTTTTTTTTAATTTTTCTATAATGGGTTTTGTAGGCATGGAGGAAATAGATTCAGAGTGAAAGCAAGTTCATACTGCCTCCCAATGTTGTTACTGCAAAAATAAACAAGGAAAAAAAAAAATCTGTCCAACAGCCAAGAATTACGGCTGTCACAGATTATGAGCTCAAAACGACGTGTGAAGTGTGAAGAAATGTCAGAGAAAATAATTACCTAAGAGGAAAGAGTGAGAGGAATCGACTCACTACAGTCCTTATTATTTGACTACAACGCAGTAACACCCACTGAGAAAGTGATTCTTCCAATAAACGTTTGACCTATGAGACATTTTGGCAAATGCTGTTATATTGTCAAATGTTTATGGGACAATAAGAAAAACTGCAGTTCAAATCCACTCACTACAAAACTTCTTTCATCCTTATGGTGCACAATGGGATCAAGAATTACTTCATATTTGTTTACTTTACTTATTGCTAATGTCTTAAAGGTGCAGTGTGTAGAGTTTAGTGACATCTAGAGGTGAAGATGCATGTTGACGCTGAATACTCCTCATCTCACCCTCCCCAACATGAAAGAAAACCTGTGTTGAACTTCAGTCGTCATGAAAACTCAAAAGGTTTTAGTTTCT